TCGGTCGTTCTTCGATGACCGATTCCGCCGTTAAATGCGCAGCAAAACTCACCGGAAGTGAGTTGTCCATAAGATACGGCGAAAAGAAGCGGATGTTCACTGAGGTTGTTGGCGAAGATCTGACTGAGACGCAATTTCCTAGCGTCTTTCTCGACGATCGATTCACTGCAGTTCCAACAGCTGCAACGAACGAACGCGTTGTCGGCCGGTCGGTCGTACATTCGGAATCAGCACGAGTGGAGGTTCAATGGTTGGCCGAAAGTCGCCGTTTTGTACATCCTCACCTCGTATATGTTAAAACGCAAGGCTCTTTACCGAGTGTTCAATTTAGCTTCGTGAAAGGACAGACAGACGCTGTCACGGCAAGAGGTTGGTGCCGCCAAGTATTGAACAACCTTACAAGTTCTGTCGTTTATCCTGAGTTTGCAATATTTACAACTACACTTCCGAGGAGGTTGAGGATCGGTGTCTACCAACCCAGTCATTTAGCAAGTGCACGTCAGTCATTCAAGAGTGCTAAATTAATTACCCTATGATCTGACCGCGTTTTGCACACCTGAGCAAGGTTCAGACCAGAAGTACAAGAGTCAGTGGGCCGAGGTGCACGAAAGATCCGAAATAGCAAACGGTTGACATGGGGCCGGAGTGAGGGAATGTGAACGTCTCTATTCTAACGTGTTCCGCGAATCAGTAAACTCGTTTTAAATGTCAGTATGAATGTCCTTTCTTTGTAAAGATTATACTGCTTGATTGGCGAGCACCATTTTTAGACATGCAAATGGGAATCATACCGTTAAAGAATAAAAAACACTGAACACTGAATAACATCATTAGGGCAGTGAAAGAAAAGAAACAAATACGGCCACAGTATGATAAATGACAAAAACGTTTCGCCTTTTGGCTCAGCACCTACCCACCGTTGTGGAAGAACAAGGGATTTCCGAAGTCAGCCAGTTAATCTCCTCACCTTAAAGAAGGCCCGTGAGACACAGTCCAAAACATCGGTCGTTAAAATGACCATTTTGTCTAACGCTGTTTACAAATAAACTGTTTTCTCCGGTTTTCAGCATGATCACCAACGAATGAGCGAACTGCTCAGTAACGAAGAATAAAGCGATATGTACTATGTGACAAGTTCAGCAAGCAGATGGGCAGATAGCAGAATAAAAATCAAAAAAAACATTAACAATTTCATCAAAGGAAGCAGTATTACAGTAAGAAAATGAAACACGCTGTTTATAGCCTTCTGAAATTCCTATTAAGGACCGAAATCGCACAGTCGACCATCCAAACTTCATTGCACCTAAATTTCACGGCCGTAGAGTCGGTTAGCCACATTTCGGTGGTAAGCATGTAGTGGATGTGAAGAGATCTTCAGGAGGACTATCTGTATCTTCTGTGAATTAACGCTGAACGTCTTGCCCGGTGGTGGATAAGCAGTTGAGGGGAAGCAATAAAGGTTACTCATGTCTGCAAGGAAAAATGCACATACGGTAAGCCTTTGAAGGACCACTATTGCTGTGTACGAGTTGTCAACCTCCTTGCATTAAAAACTTCACCTGTCAGCTAGGAGTTACGCCTGATTGGCTGTGTTTATACTATTTGAAATCAGCTGATGGAATAAGGTAGAAATACTTGATATGATTTGCTTGTAAAACTGCATCTTCGTGCAGAATCAGATAGCCGTACGAGAGGTTCACAATGCCTCATCCACATTTCACTCATGCATTATTTACTTGCCGAACAGAGGAGGAGTTCAGTTCATGGCAAAAGAGGTATTATAATTTTTCATCTTTCACGCGACCTATCCTCGTTGTAGGTGAGCAATGAACGTACCTCAATGCTCATCCACTCCAGTGTTGCCTTTGTCGTGAATTTTTTTTTGACTAGTCGGTAGTCCATTCGGGATGCAAGCCGTTGCAAATCTTTCTCGATGTCTTCTCAACTTTTAGCCACTCCAGCGGAGTCAGCGATGTGGTTTGGTCACTGGCCTGTACCGAGTAACGCACACCCCTGAACCTTAAATGCAGTGAGGGCTGTTGCACCTCTTCCGGCTCCTAACTTCCTAAGAGGTGAAAACAAATGAGAGCGTTCAGAATGAATGTCTTTTTCATGGTCAGAGTCTTCAGGTGACCCCAGGGAACCCGGCAAACTGTGCCATCAGCATGTCTTGTATATTTCTGTAAAACGTTGACTGACGCTTGATTACAAGCGCACGCATCAGACAGCAACACCGTTTAAGTCTCGAACGTTCTGGCTTGACCACACCAGGTGTCATTTAATGAATCCCTTCCCGTTTTCCAGCAGGACACATGAAAGAACGATGGGGTGAATTATTTTCTTCTTGCAGGAGCATTTGCATAGTCAGCCGTTTATGAGAGAATCTTGCGTGCGAGAGAATTCCGAGACTGCCTCCTCTAACTTGTGAAGTCAAACTGCAATTCACAGCTCCCTCGTTCAAAAACCTAGATGTTGAAAGAACCACAAGACCATTCGCTAATGACTGTTCTCCAATTCTTCAAAATATAAATTTTCTGCTTCACATATCCAATAGCCGTCAGATAATTTTGCAGTAGATAATAAACTAATATAAAATTCGATTTTGTTAGGCGACTGCTTTTGATCCATCCCGAACCTTAACCATTACGGATAACTTAACCAGTTTTAGCAAATGATCCCTCAGTTTGGCATACACATCGTTCGCTTTCCAAAAAGCGTGACTGTACACTGAGTAAGAGGCCGGCTTCGAGCTCTGGCGGAAGGCAATCTTTCTCTTAGCCACTAATTTCCTTGAGTAAGGAATTTACCACAAATCTATGTCACATGAGGCTGCTCAATCGGTAGAACGTCAAATTCTGGACCAAAAAGTCTCGAGTTCGAGCTCAGGGCGGGTCAGTCGTTTTTCATCCTTCCGAGGTTGATGAAAGAGTACCACCCTGTGGGAAGGAAACAGCTTTCTAACGTTAGCTCGCCACGTAGATGCCATCGACCCTGCCTTTAAAGTAATGCATTTCTAGCTGAAGAGACGGAGATCAACGCCCCACAATTAATTTCATGGAAAGAACGGTTCCAAAAATGAAACTATAAAAAATACTGAAATTCAAAAGGTTACAAACTTTTCTTCCTTTATCTGTCTGCTAGAGGCAAGTCTTTGAGATGACTTTCAAAGCAAATAAGCGATATTTCGTTTTAGTGAGTTAATTGAATCCGGCATGTGAGGAAGCGCATTTGATGCCATTGCGTCTCTCAGAAATATACTAGAGTATTACGGTTGTCGGTAACAACAAGATCCTCCTGCTATTTCTCTGAATTCACACGGCCTAGCGCTCACCTCAATCCCTCTAGGCAGCTACGTGTGAATCCGGCATCTAAGTTCTTGAAAAATGTACACTCTGACAGAAGGCTGAGATTTCAGCAGGATGGCAGTTCTTAAAATCACAAATCACACATTCTTGTTGTTCGTATGTTC